CGCTGCAGTGGAGCAGTGCAGCGGTTCCTCAGAAAATGAGAAATAGAACCACCCCCGGACCCAGCAACCCCACTTCCGGGCGTGTACCCCAAAGCAGCGATTTCAGCCTTTCCCGCCTCAGGGCACACACAAACTGATTACAAGAACCCTGCGGCACGCCAGAAAACATGCATTTCTGCTGATCTGACCAAAAATGGTCTAATTTTGATTCACTCACACGGGATAGCTACTGCGTTGCCTGCTGTCGTTTTTATGTGACATCTAAGGGAAAAGGGGCAGTGCCCTGACTGAACAGGCAGGGGGCCTGTTTTAAACGTTCCTGCGGCTGGTTAATCGCTGCCCCGAGGCCCTGAAAAAAACCACCCCACAGTCACAGCAGCACGCAAGCAGGGCGGGCCCTCCCCTCCGTGGGATCTGACCCGGCCACGGACGGATGCACCGTGAGGACGCCATGCGGAGGGAAGCCAGCCGGTCACAGAGGACAAGTGCTGCGTGCGTGGTTCCGCTTTTATATGGGAACCGAATTCACAGACAGAAAGGAGGGTGGTGGGCGCAGGGGCCGGGAGAGGGAGGGGGGGGAGTGAGAGCAGGTGTTTAACGGGACAGAGTTTGTTTGGAAGGTGAGAAAGTTCTGGAGACGGTGGTGGTGACGGTCGCATCATGGGAGGTACCAGCACGTGTACATGTGGGCAGTGACCTGGCCAGTGTCCAGCTGCGGCAGGGGGACCGCCCCCAGATCTTTGTGCTGGTAGCCCCGCCCCACGTGCCCTGAAGGACACCAGCCGGCCGCAAAGGCCGGGAAACGCACCTGCACTCCTTGGACGCCGAGGCATAGGGCAGCGCGCAGTCCCTGTGCTGCGTGGCCATGCGGTGTCCGTCCGCACAGCAGGCCTCCATGGGGACGTCTGCGCGCGCTGTGGGGGAGACGGGCTGGTGAAGAGCGATGTCCGCCCCCCACATGAGTTCCCCTCTGACGTGCCCTGTCCCTCGGGCGGCGGGGGCTCCCCGCCCACAGCACCACCCAGAAGCCCTTCCTTCTGCCTCCCCTCCAGCCCCAAGCTGGTCTGAGAGGCCGTGGGCACGTCCATTTCTCTCTCTTTTCTTAAAAATATATTTTTATTGATTTCAGAGAGGAAGAGAGAGGGAGAGAGATGGAAACATCAATGATGACAGAGGATCACTGACTGGCTGCCTCCTGCACGCCCCACACTGGACATCGAGCCTGCAACCTGGGCGTGTGCCCTTGACCGGAATCGAACCCAGGACGCAGGCCAATGCTCTCTCCAGGGGTCCTCAAACTTTTTAAACAGGGGGCCAGTCCACTGTCCCTCAGACCGTTGGAGGGCCGGACTATAGTTTAAAAAAAAAACTATGAACAAATTCCTATGCACACTGCACATATCTTATTTTGAAGTAAAAAAACAAAACGGGAACAAATACAATATTTGTATTTGCATGTGGCCCACTGGCCATAGTTTGAGGACCCCTGCACTAAATTATCACAAATATTGTCCTTTACAAGTTACAAAAACAGGTTCAAATAATATACCTCATTTGATACCAAATATAAGATTTTATAACCTAAAAATTACTACATTTTATTAATGTTGGCAATGAGAGATTAGCCCAGGCATGTGCCCTGACTGGGAATCGAACTGGTGACCTCTTGGTTCATGGGACGACGCTCAACCACTGAGCCACCCGGCCGGGCCACGTCCATTTATTTAGTCACTCGACACCTCGTACTGGAAACCCACTGGGCCAGGGCCGGAAGCACACACCCCACTCCCTCCTCGAAAGGCCTAAACCTCAGCCAGTATCTCCCAAACCCAGTTCCCACGCCTGCAGCTCAGCACCCAGGGCCCCGCCCACAAGCTGGACACTCAGTCAGGGGCCTGCCCAGGCGGGGACCCTGTCTCCACGGTCCAGAGGGCGAGAAAGACGGGTGCTGCTGACAGAGGTGCGACTGAGCCACCGTCCAGCCGAGGGTCAAGGCATCCAGGACACGACTGACCCCCTACAGGCTAGATCAGCCATGGGCAAACTACGGCCCGCGGGCCGCAGGCACGTGCCCTAACTGGGAATCGAACTGGTGACCTCTTGGTTCATGGGACGATGCTCAACCACTGAGCCACCCGGCCAGGCCACGTCCATTTATTCAGTCACTCGACAACTCGTACTGGAAACCCACTGGGCCCCGGCCGGAAGCACACACCCCACTCCCTCCTCGAAAGGCCTAAACCTCAGCTAGTATCTCCCAAATCCAGTTCCCACGCCTGCAGCTCAGCACCCGGGGCCCCGCCCACACGCTGGACACTCAGACAGGGGCCTGCCCATGCGGGGACCCTGTCTCCACGGTCCAGAGGGCGAGAAAGACGGGTGCGGCTGACAGAGGTGCGACTGAGCCGCCGTCCAGCCGAGCGGTCAGGGCATCCAGCCTGGGCTAGATGGTTCGTGCCATGAACCATGAAGAGTGCAGAATGGGGGGCCTGGAGGTCCCAGCGGGGCTGGTGCCCAAAAGTGGGACAACCGAGACGGCTTCTCATGTGAGGGTGGGGGGGACCCATCCTGGCGAGTGGGGGACGCACACCAGGGAGGGAGGGGGGAGAAACATCGATGTGAGAGACACACTGATTGGCTGCCTCCTGCACAGGCCTGGGCCTAGCAACACCGTCCAGGACAGTTTTTGTTTTGTTTTGATTTTTAATTTTAGAGAGAAAGGAAGGGGGAGGGAGAGAGAGAGAAATATCAACGTGAGAGAAACATCCACCGCTTGCCTCTGGGGAACAAACCCGCAACCCGGGAACATGCCCTGAATATTCCAGCCAGCGGCCCTTCAGGGCACGAGACGGCACCACAGCCAACCGAGCCACCCGGCGGCCACGGCCTTGCTCACAGGAAGGAGACAAAGGCGCCCTCGCCCTTGCGGCTGGATGATGACTTGGCGGCGATGGGAACCTGGGCTCTCCAGTCCCCAGCCCGGCTCTGCGCCCCACTCAGGCCGCTGCCCCCTGGGCCTCTCGGCTTACGGGGAGAGGACTCCACCGTGCCCCGGGGGGAGCAGAGGGTAGGAGGGTGCCCTCCGCCAAAGGCGCTCACGTGGCCAGAGCGTTTGCACCACGGCCTGAGGTCAGGGTGGGAGGCCCCGGGGGGAGGGCATCCCAGAAGGGGGCTCTGAGACACCGTGTCCTGGCTGCCGGCACCCCGTGGGTGAGTCCCACCAGGCCTGGCGTGTTTCCTGGCGCCGACGGCCATGGTGCTCTGTTTGGGCTCATTTGTCCTCCAAGGCCGGGCCCTCGGGTGGCTCCGGAAGGAGGCTCACCTCTGGACTCAGCACGAGGCCCGACATCGCTTGCCTCTGAGGAACAAACCCGCAACCCGGGAACATGCCCTGAATTTTCCAGCGGCCGTTCAGGGCCCGAGACGGCACCACAGCCAACCGAGCCACCCGGCGGCCACGGCCTTGCTCACAGGAAGGAGACAAAGGCGCCCTCGCCCTTGCGGCTGGATGATGACTTGGCGGCGATGGGAACCTGGGCTCTCCAGTCCCCAGCCCGGCTCTGCGCCCCACTCAGGCCGCTGCCCCCTGGGCCTCTCGGCTTACGGGGAGAGGACTCCACCGTGCCCCGGGGGGAGCAGAGGGTAGGAGGGTGCCCTCCGCCAAAGGCGCTCACGTGGCCAGAGCGTTTGCACCACGGCCTGAGGTCAGGGTGGGAGGCCCCGGGGGGAGGGCATCCCAGAAGGGGGCTCTGAGACACCGTGTCCTGGCTGCCGGCACCCCGTGGGTGAGTCCCACCAGGCCTGGCGTGTTTCCTGGCGCCGACGGCCATGGTGCTCTGTTTGGGCTCATTTGTCCTCCAAGGCCGGGGCCACCCGAGGAAGGAGGCTCACCTCTGGACTCAGCACGAGGCCCGACCTCCTGGAACCCCGGCCTCGACTCCCTGCGGTCAACACCACAAGCCCCCGTGCAGAGTGTCTACCGGCCCTGCCCCCCCGGGAGGAGGCCCTCATCCCAAACCCAGTCCCACAGCAGCAGCCGCCGGGGGCTCCCTTCCCAGGCACCAGGACTCGGAGCCGCTCTCCACAGTGAGATGGGCCGGCCCCGCCCTCACTCTCTGGGCTCCCCAGGCTGGGGAGGGGGTCCGAGGTGGTTTGGTTAAGGTGACGGCGACCCGGCCAGCCCGCCTGTCCTCTGGCCCAGGCTGACCCCTCTGTGTTCCCCGACGGTGCCGCTGGTGACGGTGGGAGCCGCAGGCTGGGGCTCAGATAAAGCTGTCTGGCGCTGCAGGCCTCCCAGCATGGAGAAGGGAGCAGGGAGCCACCAGCAGGGAGACCACGGCCACGGGACCACGAATGCCCCTTCCTCCATCTTGCGCCAGTTCATCCAAGAAAAGCACTCACAAAACAGGGGGCCTTATCTGTCAGATCAAACGTGGCTGCGGGTCCCCCCCACCCTGGACAACAGGGACCCAGCCACGTGGCCTGACCCTGAGGACGACCCCCCCTGC